AAGTCGAGACACAGAAAAAAAGGGGGGGGGGGGAGTAGACCTTGGGCAAACTACTTCCTCTATGTGTGCCAAGACACAAAAAGACAATAAAATAATGTTATATAAATAGTATATGAGGATGCGCACATTTTCACCAGTATCGTATGGAACACTCACAAAGAATCGATTTGTAGCTTTAATGATCGATGGATGAAGGGACGAAATAGTAGGCAGTTTAAAAGAGAAGTGATAGGAAGAATCAAACAACAAATAATGTTACCGTTACCTTCAGAGTCTGATAAAGACTGGAGCAGGAGGGGATAACCCCATTTTATCATCTTTTGTGTAGCACATGTATCATTTTGGCTGTTTCCCTCGGGTGGTGTGATTGCTTTCTCTTGCAACGGCATTGACAGGTCAAGAGGTGAGTCGTGGAACTGGTGAGGGACAAGCATGGGGGCAGATAGCAGTTACACATTCATAAATAAAATTGTGGTTAATACTAAAACAGAAGCAGGATAAATTGAGTTCTTTTTTTTTAAAGTCATAGCGCAGTATAATATCTCGTTCCGTGGGTCTAATTTTTCGCAAGTCTACTTTCGAAAACAGAAAGAAAATATAAAATGTTAACTATGAGTACATCCATGTGTTTTCATGTGTCTATAATAATATTATCATGAAGCATCGTGTGGGTGAAGTTGACCAAAAATTGAGATTATCACCAATTTAGCAGTCACCAATAAAAAGCCTGCAAAAACTGTTATGTTTCACTGCTACCCCCTAATAAATAGGCTAAAGATTCACTGCCAAAACAAAAATAAAGAGAAATAGAAAAATGAAAAAAAGTACAAGTACAAAAAAAACCAAAGCATCACATTTTTTTTTCTTGATTTTGAGAGCATTTTTTTATTTGCGAATTCGTCTAAATTTGGATGACTTCTTTGCAACAGGCTGGTAAAGATTCTAAAACCACATAGCTACAAGTAGATCACTGTGCGTTGAAATGATAATACTAGTAGGTAGGTGTAATCATTTCATGTTCATTTGAACTATTTAAAAAAAACTAATATTACAATAAAAATGAAACGTTAGATTTGTCTTAGAAATATCAAAAGTCTACACGTCAGTCTAAGGTCGGTTCCCAAGATTTTACATTCAATCGTATTTCTTGAAACTCCAGGACCTGGTATCTCTAGGGGAGTATTTGAACTGTTTCAATTGGGTATACATCTTGGCTTCTTTCATGGTGATCTCCACACAATGTTTAGAAAGCTTCCCCAAAGGCTATAATGTTCCGCAAGCTCTGGACCAGGATGTTACATTGTTTGAACTTCTCTCGAGAAAAGATAGATCAAGTATGTAAAGTTCATAAGTTTTGCAAGCAGCCTTAGAAACACTAGTGAAGTTGATGAATATCTATGTCAATGTGTATGATAATAGTCTTCAATAATGCTTCTCCATTTCTTATCCAATGGGCCGTGAAAGGTAAGATCCTAGAGATCACATAACTTCAGCACCCCCCCCCCCCCCCCGTAAGTGAGCGGTTCACTTCATCAGCGCCTACGCCCCAACCCCAACAACAGTATATGAGGAACTTCAGGTTGCAATCAATAACATCCCAATAGCAGGCCAACTATTTCTCATTGGCGACTTCAATGCAAGAGTAGATAGGGAAAACAAAGTATAGCCCATCTGCCTTGGACCAGTTGGGCTGGGAAAAATCAATGAGAATGGTCGGAAATTCTTAGAATTCTGCACAAATAACAACCTTTGAAACACTAACACCTTCTACAGTGGCAAAGACAGACACAGGGTTTCTTGGTGTCATCCAAGATCAGGCCATTGGCACGAAATCGACTTCGTCATTGTCATAAAAAAGATGCCAACATGGGAAAGCAAACAAGATCCTTCTACAGTGCAGACTGCAACACAGACCACCTTTTAGTCATAGCTAAGGCAAAGATAGTCGCAAAGTAAACACCAAGAGCTGAAAAAGAAAAGAAACCTTTGATCAACATAAGAAATACCAAAGACCCAGCGTTAAAGACAAAATTTCAAGAACATGTCAAAGAACAGCTCCAACATCTAGATAGCTCATCTCCAAACAACATGTGGAATAGCATGAAATCAACAATTTGTAATCATGCGTTAATTACCTTTGGAAGAGAAAGATCTTGCAAGGAGGACTAGGTTGAAGCCAGTTCATCAACACTCGCACCACTACTCGAGAAAAACCGTAAGATCTTGATAGAACACAACACAAATCCAACAGAGAGTACAAAGCAACAACTACGTGCTGCTAAATCCAACCTCTAAAGAGAAACCAGAAAGTGTGCAAATCAGTACTGAGACAAATTATGCTCAGAAATTCAACAGGCAAGCAATAAGGTAATATCAGGAAAATGTATGAAAACATCAGAGTTGCTATTTATTGGACCAAGAGCAAACAAAGTAGCACCTCTAAAGTCTGCAAAAGGTTAACAGCTGACAGACAATTAAAAACTAATGGAAAGATGGGCGGAACATTATTCAGACTTATACTCAGAGGAGAGGCATGTTGATAAACAGCTACATGGGGCCATTCCTCAGCTCTCCGAAATGTCAGAACTTGAAACAACACCAACAGAAAAAGAACTCTCTTTCGCAATCGATGAACTCGCTTGCGGGAAAGCAGCAGAATGACAACATACCTGCTGAAGTAGAACAAGGAGACCCCCCTTCCATATCTCTACAAACTACTAACGACTTGTTGGTTGAAAGCAGAATTTCCACATGACATGAGAGATGCCAACATCACCACACTCTACAAAAACGAAGGGGACAAAGGAGATTGCAACAACTACAGGAGTATCTCACTGCTACGCATCACTAGAAAAGCTTTCGCTAGGATCATCCTGAAGCGATTTAAGCGACTAGCAGAAAGAGTCCTACCAGAGAGCCAATACGATTTCAGATCAAACGGCTCAACAATGGACATGATCTTTTCTATTTGTCAGCTACAAGAAAAATGCAGGAAGCAACAACTGCCATTACATACTGCGTTCGTCGATCTGACAAAGGCTTTTGATACAGTCTGACTGTATGTGGTCCATCATTGTTCGTAGGGTTTATTCACTGTGAGCAACAAGAGCTGCATCATTGGCGAAGAGAAGGTCTCGGACTGTTGTTTTGTTGATCTTGGTCTTGGCCTGGAGTCGAGCAAGATTGAAGGGCAACCCATCGGTTCTCGTGTGGAGGAAGACATCCCCTGGTGACTCTTTGAATGCGCATTGTAATAAGACAGCAAAATAAGTGCTAAAAAGGGTTGGTGCTAAGACACAACCTTGCTTTACTAAACTTCGCTATCGATGTTGAAGCTGTATGATGTTGAATCGTCAAACTGAATGGTGGCCTTCATATCTGCATGGAATGAGATGATGAGCGGTAGAAGTATTGGGGAATATCCAATTTTTTCAGGCACCATTTACAGTCCACCTATCAAGAGCATGCAAGGTCTTTTATTAGCTTGGTCATCAGTATTAAGAAAACAGTCATCCTTTCTCAGGAAAGTGCAGAGCAGAGCCATATTACATGGCTAAACGACAAGGAACCTAAGACAGTGGACAAGTTCTGTTACCTGGGGTCTATCATCAGCGCTACGTGGTACTACATCACTTTATTATAAGATTAACTTCAGGATAGGGAAAGCAGCAACAGCTTTTGGAAGGCTGACAAAATGAGCATGGGAAAACAAAAGATTAACCCTCAAAACAAAGATCAAGATTTACGTAGTATGTGTCCTCAGCACATTCCGTATGGATCTGAAATATGGACCTTGTACAGCAGGCAAGAAAAGCACCTTGACATTTTCCATTTCAGATGCTGCCGCAAGATCTTTGGCATTTTGTGGCTTGACAAGGGTGCAATAAATGTTGAAATGTTGGCACGGGCAAACCTCCAGAGCCTGACAACTATCCTGTGTTTAAGAGGGGG